ATGCTGGAATGAACTATCAAATCTTACGCTTAGGGTTACAAGTATTGAGTCATTCATTGTATGAAAGTCAAATGAAGAGGAACATATTGCTTGCCTACAGTGTAATCTCTTGCATATTAATCTTCAACTTTAAAATGAAAACTTGATTCCAATGAAATTTAAGCCAGGTTTGAATGTTCAGAATTTTCATTAATTTCATTTTCCATTACAATTTTAAATTAAATTGCCGAATTAACTCGCCACAAGCGCCACACCTATAATCAAAAATGATATAGGATTTATAGAATTTTTTATGTTATGGTCGTGATTCACACAAAATATATAACACTCAAATCATAAAATTAAAGTTTTACTATATGAGGTTAATTGAGGTTTCATGTCTTCGGATTATCAATAAAAAAAGGAGTCGTGTTTGAATTTTACATTGAAATATGTCGGTGAGCATTAACCAAGATTGCAGAAATATTACCTTCTCATAAAGAGAGTAAATACAATTAATCATCTGCTTTACCCTCAAGTTTCGTTTAACGATGGCATAATGTCGCTAGATCGATCATCTCCACAATTCTAAAATAACGAAACTCAACTAACTGGGAAGCGGAATGAATATGATCGTATGCCATCTTCTATGCTCCTTTCAATTGCGCGTTCGATACAACGTTCAGACATGACAGGCTCTAACAAAGGATCTTTGTGATGGAGACAGTTAGCTTTCTGTGCATAGTGACAATAACGATGACGAAGAGCTTGATTGTAGGGCCGTTAGCAGCTCCTCTGCGGCTACACGTCTCAGTCTGTCTCAATTTGTCGTAATAACCTGCGACTCATCAGCGGTCATTTGGCTGTCTTATACGGGCCAAGTTCGATATCGTTTTCAGGGACTAAAAGAGAATTCATGACGGCCGGTCGTCGGCCATCACAGAGAGAATATAGTTGCATTTATAAGGACCTTTTGCCCTATCATCACTTATATAAGATTCGGGTTAGTCATATATCCTCACCCTTGCAGGAACAGCCTGTCATAATTTCAGCAATGGTAAAGTGTACGATCCGCTCCTAAATGTTATCCATCTCACCACAAGACTGATGATGTGAACATCGCATTTATGGTTCACAAAAAAAGCCCAATTCTAACTCGAGCATTATTGGTTATGCCGGACCCTAAGCAATATTAAGTAGACAGCTAAAGAGGCTAGGCTGAATCCATATCGTCTTATAATACTTAGAACAAAATGGACAATACTTCGTATGAGGACAATTTTAAGGCTGCCAAACCATTTCTTTTTCGTACGATTTTTACCTTGTGCGATATGATAGGAGAACGTTGCTTTATGATATATGCACTGTTCATTACCTTCATTTTATGAATACGAAACTCACTCTAAGTGGAAGTTCATCAAATCAATTACTAGAAATATACACATTTTGCTTCCATTCTCGATAAATTCTAACATTTACGACAGCTGAATTCGTGCCATGACATGTGCAAAGTTAAGATTTTTCTGTTCGGATGGAGTTGAATGTTTCGTTAAGATTCCGTAAAGACGATATGACAAATCATCATTAATATGAAATCGCTTCCTGAAGTGATACTAGGTCAGCTGTATATTGATGAAAAATCTTCTGTAGTTTGATGCATACGGAACTCACAAAAAAATAACAGCTGACAAAAATTTAATTGGATTGTCCGTAGTAACAGTCAATTTTAACTTAATCTTCATAAATTCTGTATCAAAATACCTCCGGCAAGTCTATATGTCGTTTCTCCAGTAATTTTGAAAAGAAACTTGTGCCCAGATCTAGGATTTAGCGCTGAAACTTATTTATGTGAAATTGGCAGTTTTGCATTGTACGCACGGTGATTTAAGATCTTTAAAGACCTTAAATCATATAAAAATATTGGTTATCAAAGAAAACTCATAGCTGCAGCAAATTGCAAGCTTCCCTCAGTCCATGATAAATAGGGAGCTGCTCAACGATGTTTCTTTACTGCCACTGTGTCATCATTCATCGTATCCACGGACTCGAGTCTCCGTCTCTACGACAGTCAGTTTTGGCAGTCAGCGAGGGAAGGACTCCAACTTTATTCAAGACCTTTAAATAACTCATATTTTTCCATTGAATGTTGCCTTACATATCCTTTCTATAATAGACTTCGAAAGCATTTTATAATTATAAATCAGCTACATTGAATGCACAATTCGAGTTTTTCATTCCATACAGTTTTCCGATTTTGAAAACTGTATGGAACTTGAAATTCATAAAAAATCTGAGTGATTTCCAAAAAATTAAGCTTCTGTTGATCAAAATTCATTCATTATCAATCCTCTTTACTAGATAAGGGCAGGAAATATTAAATACAGCGTTCCGTATTTCAACCTCAGAAGCAAAAAATTTAGCGGAAAAGGGAACCGGAGAAAATCAAAGGAAAATTTTTCCGTCTCGACTCTTAAGGTTTGCATTGCATTGTCGAGTAAATCTTCACGTCAAGACGACGCTATAATAAGCCTCTGGTTTCGTCATCGAAGTTCAGAAAAATTTCACATTACAGCGTATATTTACCTTTTTTGGGAAAAAGGGTCTCAATCTGTTACATGTTGAGGATTTTTTACTCTAATATTTCCTCGTTTACGGCCACTGGAACAGAGAAAATTCACGGGAAAGTGCAAAACTTGAGACTCATCGAACGATGTAATGATTCCATAACATCTCATCGCTGTATAGTTGTTAAATGTGCCAAAGTTGAATCTCGCGCCATGGTTTATTCTGGAATTTTATTGCCTTGAATAAAATTTCTTTCAACAGTGTGAAGATTCTAAACATAATTTTTTTAAATAGAGTTTCAAGTGAGTTGTAGTATGCGAGTTAAGTGAAAGAGTACCATAATCGGTTAAAAATGCTATCCTTGTATTCAACGACTATCGACTATGTTGTTTCCGTACAGGCCTGACAGGCCGATGTTGTTCTAGTAAAGGCTTGACCTACCGGATGATCAGTTCAACGCAATGAATCGCTCCTACAATTCAAAATTAATATACTCGATATTAACTCTTTTCTCGGACGTAATTACAGTGCAAGTAAGTGGAAACAATCAAACAAACGCGTGTTTAAATTCCATATCATATGTGAAATACACAACAAACAATGAAGATCTCATGACACGGTCTCCAAGGACATTATATTCTGAACAAGGCACCGCTGGGCAAATCAGGCGTGAAGATCTTAATGTGATATTGAAGTTGAGTGAACATTACGTGGCTTCTAGAAACCTCGACTACATCACCGTCTACTGGGATCTTGAGGGTAATCATGGTAGCTTAAATTCAATTTCAATTTTTTGCAACAATACTTCCTGATATCAGTTGGATTTATTAATCCTGCGTAAATAAATGACTAATCAATTTCGATATTTTATCAACATTTTTATTTATATTGTCCGTTCAAGGAAAATTTAAACTGCATTGAAATCGAATTTTTTGCTGTAATTTAGATTCTGCAGAGAATTGAAGCTGATTGATTATTATAAAGTAACTGGAAACACTCATCAAGTATAAATTCACTTAATTATATTTACAAATAAATAAATGATATATTAGGATGCTTCTCCGTGTATAAAGGCGACAGATTAAATTGAGCCCGTTAACATAAATTTGAGGGTCAAATGAAGCAATTCTAGCATAATGTTTTCAGATGATGATATTCTACTGAGGTGGTACAAAAATTACGACCAAAGCGTTCCCGTGAATATAAAACTCTGCGCACCGACCGGAGGAGATCCCGCTGAGCATGCCTTTGGACTGAAGGATGCTGCTGTGGTCGGGACTGGCATGCATGTGATGCTTTGCAATGGGCGACTGCAAGAGAAATACCTTACGCAAGTAAATCACGAGTAAACAGTCAAGAAATTCATGATCTTCCAAAACCCAAAAACCGAAAAAAAAAAAAAAATATCAGGAATTTACAAGAAATCTAGTCAGATTTAAAATTATTCCAGCGGAGCTTGGGATAAAGATATTCACTGTAATGTCAAGTCCGATATTATGGAGAATGATGTCGGTGATCAGGTACACGCCTCTAAGAGATTTTATTGTCTATAATTTATATGCTAATCGAGGAATAATATCGAAATGTACAAATAATAGCCGTGACATCGAGCAGACCACCCAAGTCCGTCTCAGGCAATTTCTAGTGGCCAAATAGGTTGAACCTTGATTTTGATATTATTATTATATCGCTGATGTCTTTATTTACGAACTTTTTGTATTATTGAGAAATTATTCATGATTAAATTGTCTATCTAAACCACACTTTTTATGGGAACGTCAAGGAATAAAGTAATAAACACTTCTATTGAACTGAAGGCCCTCGTTCGGAGAGGGTATGGGCATGACGACGACTTCTTGGTGTCGAGGCTCGCCGGTCATTGGCTGCTGGTCGACCTCGACGACAACGATGTCTTGTCGCAGGATTATTTCATTCCTCTCGACTCGATGGTGAGCCATTTGCTGTATTAATCATCTTTATTTTATCTATTAGTATCAACAATACTGTTCCACAATACGATGACAATTCGCAAACTAATCAAATTAAGGCGTTCTACAATATTATTCTAAATGGAACCGTTTGAAATTTAAACCTTTGATCATAATTTTACTTTATTCATCGTGGAGTTCGCTCATATTGATCATGGAATGAGAACATTAGTTCAGTTTTCATTTTAATGAAGCTATTCCAAAATTAATTTTCTTGTTTTGCTTGTGTTAAATTGCTTGTTATTCTGCAAACCATTTTGTTTGATTTGTCATTCACTCTTATTGAATGGCACAATATCCATGAATACAGGTTCTATGTCTCACTTAATCTTGATAATATAAAATTTAATTCTTCCATCGAGGTCATCCGTCCTGAGAGAGCAGACCGTGGATTTACTCTCAACGCCATCTGGAGCACCGCTAAAGGGTTGCCTCAGAAGTCACACTTGATTGGCTGGTTTGAAACCAAGCCGCTGGGAAAGCAACACGGAAACAACGGCCGGACATTCGAACAACCATTCGGGCAGAACGAACCCAGTGACATATGTAACGAAAGAAATAACGTAGAACTGGAGCGAGAAGGCCTTCCTTTTGATAAAAAAGTGGAGTACAGAGACGTCTCCTACGCATTAACGTTTAGCAGAGAAAGAAAGTATGACTACAGGATGGACATGTCGGGTATACACTTCGTCGTCACCTCCATAAACGTTAGTCCAGTTCAACAACTAAGTGGCTTTGCAGGAAGCTCATTTAAACATTTTTGAGCATTCAGTCGGTATGTTGCAAATCCCCGCTAAACTTCTGTGTTAAAATATTTAATACTATTTTTTATTGCTTATTAACAATCCGTTGCAGTCGGGTTTTAATCTGGCAAGTTATTCCAATAGAAATTTCGTTCTATGGAAATGGCACTGAGTCGTATTTTTTGTTTCGTTTAAACATCGATGCAAATTCGAACATCTATTTCTAAGGAATAAAATACATTTTGAACTATTAAATGCATAAATTAAAATTTGATTATTAGTCGTAAAGTCATGTAAAATAAACTTTTCAGGTAATTCTTACTTCAGAATGCTGCAAGTAATTTAATCTTCATATGACTTTAGGAAACTTAAGTTGGTTCCACGCATTCAATTTTGAGTTAAATTTTTTCCACAGAATACGCAAGCTCATTATTCATCGTACGACTCATCGCTTGACCGCTTTGTCATGTCTGGAGTCTTTGGAGAAATTTTCGAGATCGCCAAAACAAAAATGAATTTCACGTGAGTTAACTATAAATATATTAGTTCTGAATTCCTTGAGTAATAGAACCACTCAGTCTACTATAATCTTGAAATGATCGAATCAAAAATATTCTGAAATAATATGATTTTGTAAAATTAATTTTACCGAAAAATTTAGCAAGTACCTAATTGGCGAAAAAGAAAAATAATATTCATTCGATATGAAAAAAAATCTACTCTGTAATGGGAAAAAATGTAAGTTTGAATCCAAAGATAGTATGCATGTACGTATTATATTCTGTTTTTTTGTCTGTATGTTTAGTAAACTCTCCTTTACTTTAATTTTAGTATGTATTCTGGTTCTTTCAGAAAATACTGCATGAGATTGAACTGAAAATAATTTTTTATTTCCTTTGCCCGAAGTTTAAAGTACCAGATCACAGAAGGATAACAAGAAAAATCCGGTATATGAAGTCCAATTGTTCAAAAGATAATAATTAAATTCACTCCCACCGTGGTGATGTCATTTTATTGCGTGTCTGCCCAGATACTCAGTCGTCAGTCCAGCTGACGATGAATTTGGAGTGCTGCTGGACAACGGAAGCTGGACGGGTCTCGTCCGCGACCTGGTCAGCCGCCGAGCCGACATCGCTGTCGCTTTCCTCACCAAGACCATGTCCAGATGGGAGGCTATTTCCTTCTCGGCCACCATTCTTAATTTCCGGCAAGGCATTCCAACACCATTAATTTCAATAGAGCTATTTCACAATTCTTTGTTTCCAGTAAGGAATTCTGCCGTCTTTGATTCCCCGGGAGCATTTTTTTTTTTCATTTAAGTCAATCATTCCTGCATAATTGATGCGGTAAACTAATACACCATGATTGATACACCATGATTGAAATCAAATTCCAAATCCACAAGGGAATCCATTGCTACATTAAGAGCTATGAGAATTACAAAAATGAACCTCTATCATTTGTCCTCTCAGATACAGAATCTTCGCGCAGATCCCGAGTAGCTCGACGTTGCGGTGGCAGGCGTATACTCGGCCCTACAGCGCCACCATGTGGCACGTGGTCTTCGTGTCATTCTTCGTCTTGTCCGGGGTCTTTGCTTTGGCTTCACACTTGTGCTCGTATAACTTGAAAAACATCATTAAAAATCGAGATGATAGTATATGTACGAAGGACTCGCCGAAAAATCCAAAAAATTTCGACAGGAGCAGAATTAACCAACACTTTTCTGATGCCAACCGACAACATTTGACACGTCCTCGAGTTCTAAGTCATTCTTCACGGAATTCCAATTTTCGGCATAAGCTCCTGGCTAAAGTTGACCAAACATTCACACAAAATGGAAAAACTGATACAATTAGTGAACTGAAATTCAGTACTTCAAATGAGAAAAATATTAAAGAAATTCGAAACCTCATCGAGTGGAGGAACGTCGCTTGGCTTGTAGTCTGGAGCGCCTTTGTGCAGCAAGGTGCATGATGTTCAAATAATATACTGCTATATACATCATATATGTACTCTCAGCAATGATTCACTCGGCAGCATATAAGATGATATTCTAATAATATACGTCATATATGTACTACTAGTACATATATGTACTACATATATGTACTATATGTACTAATTCACTCGCAAGCATATATACTTTAAAATGACAAAACATTAGCAAAGATTTCATTGAGGAATTCTTTGTCAGGCACGATGTCTCATTTTCTATCTTTTGTTACCTCCAACCCCTCATCATATGATTGCCTGCCCTAATCATATGAAGTCTTATAATGAAGATAACAATAACGCCAAAATGCAAACAAAAAAGAACTTTCGAAAATTTATTCAACTGCAAACGACCAAAAAATACACATCAAGAAACGTAAAAAGTACTGCAACTTTCATTATTAGTATTCAATAACGTATATCATTTGCCACTATGGTCTATTAATTAATTGAGTTGTAATCAGGTGACTAACTGGAGCAAAAATATTCTCCTATCGTTTTAATATTTCCCAAATAATTACTTAGTAAGTCAAGGAATCCTGATCAATTTTGGTGCTTTTTTTCGTTGAGATTGAATTGTTCTGTTGAATTGATCATCTTCTGCACAACTTTACATGCTGATATGTGGCGGCACCATGCATACTCAAGGCTTTTTACCTTTCAAAACTTTATATAGAATTTTAATTCGAAGATTATGAATTCATTCAAAATGTATGGTCATTTAATAATTTCTTGCCCTCACCTGTGGATTCCTTCGTAATGAATTCGGGGTTACCATGCAGGGTTTCCAGATTCACCCCGCCAGATGCCACTGCGCGCGATCTTTTTGCTGATCTACACCGTAGGACTGCTGCTGCTTACGGCCTACTCAGCAACACTGATATCCTTCCTGACGGTCACAGACAACTCCCTGCCATTCGACTCGTTCTCCACACTGGCGGCACTAAAAGACTACAGACTTGGAATACAAATAGGATCAGTGACTGAAGAATTGCTCCTTGTAAGTAAACCAACACCAGTGCCAATGCTGCCTTTACTAGAGAAATAAAACGCAATTACGAGAGAAATATTTCCGCAGCAGAGGCGCGCATGAGTGTATGAAAAATTTACAATCTAAGCAGAGAAATGGATCTAATTAGTGAATGACTGATTCCAGAAACACTAATTATAGAATTCTAGATTATCTGCGTGAACAGTAAATTTTTAGTAACTGAAAGCCAAAAACCACCATAATTCACCACTTGTGGAGAAATATTTTATTCACTAAACTCAAATGTGGAAACTATAAGTTTATGTCGAACCTTCAATTGAAATTAGGTCGGAATCGATTGCTATGTTGGAACCAAACTACTTGGATGTTGGAGCTAAACTCGTATAGCATCCACATTTCTGAATTTTGAAAGTATTATAATGTTGTCTCTTACTGCCAGTCTCCATCGTACGTGAAGCTGTACGAGCAGCTGGTGGAGCCTCATAAAGATACTCAAAGTCGGAACTTTACGGCCCTCAAGTTGAGTGCTCTACGTGACCCATACTTTGCTGTGCTTGCAACTTATGAGGTTCAACGGTCAAGTTACGATGGTGGTTGTCTTCTGGCAAACTCGAAGCTCGACCTTATGTTCAACGACGGGGCTTTCGCTTTCAGGAAAGGATCTCACTTCGTACCACTCTTCAGCTACTTGTGAGAAGTTATTTAAGTCGTTTCATAATTTGGGCGAAAAGTGCACTCATGCGTACGTGTTATGACTGTTTTTTTTAGAAATACTGAAGAGAATTGCCGAGAAACATTAATAATTATTGTTTTTCACACTCTTGGTTAACTCACATTTCGCAGGTAACTTAAACGGACTCGCACGTTTCGGCCGTTTTAATAGAAAGATGACTATTATCTTTCCTATCATATTTCAGTTATCATGTCTAAACAGTAAAAATATGGCACTGATTTCTCTTCTACCATGAATTTTTTATTCCGTACTGCAAAAAACAACTCGCATTCTAGTCATAATAAGTATCCTTTCTGTATGTTTTAAATTTCTAGCGAAATTTTACGTCTCTTATACTAAAAATTTTTCTTTTAACGTTTGAGAGTTTTTTACTCTTTTTGATTTAATTCTAACTTTGTAATTCGTTTTACAGCATCAATCAAGTGAAAGAGTCAGGGATTCTGGAGAAAATTATCCTGAAATATTATCCATCGTACACGTGCCCCGACACGTTCGACATGTCAGTTGGCTACAAGCAGGCAAGTGCACCTAGAAGTTATTGGTTATTATTTTTATCAATATTCTAGTATTCGTATCAGTAAATTTAATTATTATAATTCTATATGTACGATTTGTATGCATAACATACAACACAGTCATATCCAGTCATGGTTCTATTCAATCAAGCTGGTATTTCCACCACTCTGATATGAACAATTTTCGAAATTTATCGATGTATATAGTTACGTACACTAAAAGACATCATCATTATTTGATATCATATCTTAATTGAACTGTGTCTGGGTTGGCCCATTCGGCAACAACCTCGAACGAAAATTATTTAAATAGCTTCTAAATCTTGCTTATTTACTTATTTAGCTTCTAAATGTCGCTTATTTACTCTGATTATTTACTACGTGTATTACAGACTGAAAATATTTATTGCTTTATCTGTGCCGGTGTCAGGTTTTCACTGCATTTCTGTGCCTCGTGATGGGCATGACGCTTGCTGCTGTGATGCTGGGGCTCGAAATGCTCGCTTGGCGACGTTCAAGTCGACTGCGGCCTGACGTCTGACTATTCCTAAACGTACGCATAACTAAGTACAGGAGATAATATCTGAATAATTAGTAATATTTGTAGGTTTTATTATGCATGGAGCGCTATAGTATTGAAGCGCTATTTTAGTAATCATTTACTTCATGAGTAAGCAACTTTACCTCACTACCATTCAAAAACAAAATTCTCACTTGATTATCCGTATCTCGGCAAATATGTTGCTGTGATGAAGGATCTTCGTAAAGTCAGAATTATAAGCTCATTTGAAATTTCTAAATTAAAGGCTTATTGAAGAAGTTGTAGATAATAGCTTCCGTGACAATCTGAAGTTAGCATCTCGTCAAATGGTTAGCAGCGTTATAAACATGTTGATGTAAGCATCTTGTCAAATGATTGACACACTCAACCGGATAGATATAAGGGCATATGTACTATCCACATAGAGCATCGCTCTCTGCATGTAGCACTGATACGCCCTCTTTCCAGGCTAAACTGAGTCAGGAAGACCAAACAAGGGCAAAGAGTGTAACGTTTTTCGGACATAAGTATCGATAATTTCTCTGATTGCAGATAGCAGTAAATTTAGGATTGGACTTGGCAACTACAGTGAGCAAAGAAAATCGCGTAGTATGTCAACTAACATATCGTGAAAATTTTAGTTAGTGATTTTTTTGTGAGAGGCTTCCGTTGAACGGATGTTAAGAAAAACTGACATAAAAATTTGCAGGTAAAGTTTTACATTCGAGGCTATAATATTATTCCAGTAGGAAAAAAAGTAACGATACCAATTAAGTCAATAGGTTTTCATTATACGTTTTTCAATATAAAAATTAATTATATGCTCCATGATTGCATGATTTACCAAAAAGGCCAAAAATTTGATATGAATTCGGGGCAAAAACATTTGTGAAGGTGAAAATTTTTCAGACTCCAATTCCCGCAAAACGTGTATACTATTCATATGAAAAAATCAAAATTCTTCCGTATGCCAGTAAATATTCCGGAATTCAAGTTGTTCCGTCGTCAAAAATTTATACATTTCTCTACTCGTCACAATATTTCTTACGAATAAGAGTAACAATCGATTTGACATGAAAAATATTGAGATGCTCTACAGCTTAAAGCAATTTTCCATTCAGATGCACGAATTATATTAGATAAAATATTGTGGTTCACAGGCATGACGATTCTCCTTGCATCATAAAATAATTTCTTATAAGAGCAATCAACAATTTAAGGTAAGTACCGGTATTGCCTCCCGTGTTCCGATCATATTATTCAGAGTAACTACCCAAATAGAATATTTCAGAGTCGAGCACCAGCTGTCAAAATAATTTCGGTTGAGTTACCTACGATGGACGTCCATTTCAATGAAAAATTGGTTGAAATTGAGCATGCATTGATTGCAGTAACACCCAAACGGGGTATTTTTATCATGAATTTTGATGTTTCAAGACGGATTTAAGCCAAAGAAGCATGCATTTTCATGTGTACACATCCTCAATGTGCTCTAAAAACAAGTGAAAATTTGTGGCTTATGAATGCCAGATGTTATCAATAGCATAGTGATGTCGGCGCTAAAGAGTAGGCCTGATGTGGCCTGTCGCCGAATCTCGAACTTTTCGTGACTTGTTCATAGAAGATCTAAAATCTTGTCATTTGACAAGATCTTTTCACGACTGACGATAGTTAGATATCGCTACTAGACTATTTCAAATCTAATATTTTATCTAATTCCATGGAAACGCGAGTTGCAGTACTATGGGGAATGTTCATAGAAAGGCTACTAACAATTATTGTAAATACCAGCAAAGAAATTCATTCGATGTAAAATAATAAAAATAAATTATATGTATCAAACAACAAATGATGGAATTAAATGTTACTTGGTTTTGAATAGAAAAACTGGTCTCAGCATTAATCGTCCAACGACAAATATATTAGTTCAATGTTGAAAAACTACTTCATGTGACAAATTTCGAGCTAAGCTTATTATAATACTACTGCACTATAATGAAAAGGCACGATTCCAACGATTTTACTAAGGCAATCTAATTGGTGTTGAACATTTGATCATTGAATTAGTCCGGTTCATATATACAACTGCCACATCATTTTATTTCCGAACTCTAAAATTATAGAAATTAGCGTTCAGAGTTAATCGTGATCCATGTCTAAAACTCATCTATTATAACTAAAAAATATGAATTTGGATCCGAAAATCGCAAGCTTTTATTGCCCGACTGCAATCGCACCAAAAATAATTCGAGTTCGAGCTCATAAATAAAAATGTTCGTCACGCAGTTTTGAATTCATGAGTGTTCGACATTGTGAAATGGACGATCAGCCATGATCGTCGTACGATCAGCCATGCGCTCAAGTTGAATTTCATTTGATTTTGAATTTTCACTTTTTTAATTCAAATAATTCATATGACAGATTATGTCTAGCAGTGCATCTATAGGATTTCGCCAGACTGAGAATAATGAGTGCTTGCACGTTTCTCACCAAGTTATTGTATACAGGATTATTATGTCCAAATTTGCTCGTGATTTCAGACTACTTTCGATTATTGACTGCTTTTCTGACTGCGTGTTTGAAGAACACACAACACTAAGTCTGAGTATCGGCATCCGTCATGCCGAACTATGTTGCAACTTTACACGAATGGCCTGGTTAAACTGTCCCATGTTTGAGGCAAAAAACGCACAATTATCAAAACATTCAACACCAGTCGCACCAAAAACTTAAGTACATCTGTTTTAGTGGCATATCTATATACTTATACAAAATCGTCCAAACTAATATAAAAAATTCGGGTGCACGGTCAATGAAATGAATGATAATTGGGCGGACGTGGCATGAATGCTTATAGCAATGAAACGTTAACAGACTTTGAAGAACTATTCGCCTGCGAATTCTGTAATACTTGCGGTTGAACACTTATGCTGCCGACAATATAGATATTTCGTGTGTGATACGACTATCGACGCTTGGCTAACCTATCTGAAAACACAGCAGAAGCACTTGGGATTTTGGACGGTGTAGTTTTAATCACCTTATCAAGGTAAAATTCTCGGCGTTTATACTGTGAAGACTTGAAGAGCCTACTAATAAAAATCACGATTCCCAGCCTGGAATCTGGAATAATTTCCAACTGAACTAAATCAATGAATGTCCCAAAAAGCTAACAATTTATCTCATAAGTCCAATGACATTCTTTCGTACATATGTCATTTGCATCCTGAAAAATAGCGACATTCTAAGCTGCAGGAAGATCAACATTTGCAGTTGGATTCAGGAGGAGAAGATCTCCCTTGACCCGGAGAATCGATGGAGAATCTATCAGGATCATAGGAATCACTTGCCAACTGACCGTTCTGTTCCATGGATAAGATCTGGGGAAAAAAAGCTAATAGGCATCAAAGTGCAAGGCAATAGAAAATAATCTATTCGTGTGCCGCTTGATAAATTGTATTTCAAGATTCCGGTCCATTTTTTTCACCAAGCTACACCAAACTGAAATCTATCAAATCTATCAACAATAAATTTCAAATAATATTTTCTCACCTGATTCACTAGGAATTTGGCTGCCTCGTCGATGTTGATGTTCTCTTTGGCCGAGGTCTCGAACCAGCCGGCGTAGCCGCTGTCTCTGCAGTACTCGTCCATCCGTGCTGGGCTGTTCACGATGCCTTCCTTAGGCTGGTCGCACTGCACGGTTCATCAAGCATCAATATGATTCATTTGCACTGTAGCCACATAACTTGCACTGTAGCCACATGACTTGCACTGTAGCCACATGACTTGCACTGTAGCCACATGACTTGCACCGTAGCCACATGATTTACACTGTAGCCAATATGAATCGTTTGCACTGTAGCCTCATTCAGACATGACCAGAAAACTACATAGTATACTTGTTTGCTGTTGTAGAGAAGACATAACAAATTGTACATTAGGTTAAAGATAGATTTTACGACGAAGTTCCTATTTTGAGCTTCGATAGGTTAACGACTTTGTACTTTGCAGGCAATTTAATTGAGTTATAAAATATAGCTGATAAATAAATTTTCTTAGCTAGCATTATATATCTATCAAACTTTTTTAAAATCTGATTTTTTTTCATTGTTAATTTGTTTCTGCCGGCGATTAACTGAGAACATTATAGTAAGTGTAGTATTAATTTATTTAAATGTTATTTTACAACTGTGTTAACTTCTTTCAAACTCCGATTATTGTTACTTTTTAGCGCATTTTCTCATTTATGGAAAAAATGCACTATTGTGCTCGCCATGTCCGTCTGTCTGTCTGTCCGTCCGTCTGTCCGTCCGTCCGTGACCTCAAGTTTTCGTCGACGAGAAAATGTGCTCAGTGTCACTCACTGCTGTGAGTACTGAGTTATCTGAGTTATGTTTTCATAATTGCTTATCTGTCTCGCGCTCCTCAAATGTACTAGCTTCTCCGACCTTTAGGAAGGTCCGGCTTATTAGCTAACGTCTGTTTGATCAGTGTTCAATTGTTCGTGGCCTGTAACGAAAACAGCCTACAATATTTTGGTGCTTCTATTATTGTTTTCAAACTTGGTTCTGACTTTTTTAATTTGTGTATTAAAACTGGTATAAATTCCCCATATATTTGAAAATATTAGTAAATTTTTAGATACAATATTGTTCTTAAATATATAAAGTGCATCATCTCATATCGTAAAAATTTTGTCTTTGATACTTGAAAATAAAACCAACACGGTAACTTATTAAACCCTGTAGTGTTTCACAGGGTTACTGAAATAAAATCTCCAATAGGTAAAATTACTACAGTTTCTTTCGCATAAAGAACGCAAATACATTTTTTAACCAAATATTCACTACAAAAATGTTTGTTGATACATGAGCAATGCACAAGAAAATGTCTCACCTTGTTTGCCAGTAAGACTGTCGGAATAGGAGAGCCGTTGGGGAGGGTGACTTTAGTATCGAGGTCGTTCTTCCATTTGCTGACGCAGTCAAAAGTCTGCGCACGCGTCACGTCAAAGACGATGAATGCACCAACGGCCTCTTTGTAATACACACGCGTCATGTTGCCGAAACGCTCTTGACCTGCAATTATAATATACATTATTTATATTGCCATGCTACTCGTTCATGACTTGAACTAACGTTTTATAAAAATTATGTAAATTAATGTAAATTAAAGTGTGAGATGTGCATAGTAAGGTGGGAACTCGTACTCAAATCAAGCAGCTATATTGCCATAATTATAAGTTTGACATTCAAAGTTATAAAGTTGATATTTAAAGATTAAGTCGTCCCATTAAAGAACTTTATTCTTTCTGTTGAGTAATATTTTTAGTAATTGTTCAATGAAAACAAAACAAAGCTAATGCGGAGCTCAACACGTCTTTAATCAAGCGAAGACTTTTACATGCTTTTCTTGAAGCTTTACGTTGGACAAAATTTTAGTCAATAAATAATAATAATGAATAAATAATTTTATTTTAAATATTATTTTAGAAACTATCTCAACATTTTCGTGTTTTTTGAGTATGTGTTGCAGTGTGTGGCAGCGGTATAAGTAAGGATTGTGGATGCGTGGCATGAATAAAAAGCATCAGACAGTGGCTATTTTTTGGAGTAAATTCCATTCATAACGTAAATAGCTCTCATTTTTGATAACGCAGCGAAAGAAAATCAATATAAATTATAAGTGCTTACAACCTCTGTTGATATATCACATGTGCGAATAGCCTATGATATCTTGAAGCGATCTTGCGTCATATTAGCCATCCACGAGACTCACCAGCAATGTCCCAGAGCTGTAGCCTGATGACCGTGTTCGCGTCCCAGCTGACGACCTTAAGAGCAAAGTCCACCCCGATGGTTGCCCGATAATGTTGACTGAAGAACTGATGAACGTAGCGCTTGATTATCGAGGTTTTGCCTGTACCCAGCTCACCGATCACCAGAATCTTGAAGAGATGCTCGTTTTTGTCACCACTGCTGCCCGCCTGAAGAATGTGCAGCGTCAGGTATACAGTTCATTCGAGTAAGAATTTATTATATATGGAGGTAATTTATGCTGCTGCCTGTTACACTTTAAAGATATTAATAAATAATTGTTTTTCGTCGGTTTAAAGTGTAAAATAAACTTTTGGATTAGTCGAGTTATAAATCCTTCTAAATATTAAATATTTCTCTAAAAAACTCTTGGCAACTGCAAATTAATGCATGTAAAGTACACCAATGTATGGAGATTCTTTTGAATTCATTCAGTCACTAACACTGAACAGTGAACATCATGCGTACAGACAACATTATCCAACTATAAGAGCGAAATGTTAAGCGAAAAAAAAATACATAAAACAATGAGTATTATTATAAGGTAACTAATGACACCACTATTCCAACGAGTGTCGAATATTTATTTTAACTTTGAAATAATTGCTAAAACATGTGCTGACTGCTGAGTTGTTCGTAGGTGTGAACCGGCCACGTGAAGAGGAAGCCGCGCGTGCGTTACGCTTCTACGGCTTCCGTAACACTAAGGCGCTCAGCTATGATACCAGACCGGTCATTGATAATTTTAAAGAGGAAGTGAGATGTTTTCATGAAGTCACTTGTGAAAATAAGGAAAAATAAGAATAAAATCCACAATACAAATTGTCTCTTCATCTTAGATGTAAAACAAGACTTTGATATGTAAATAATTTATGCCAGGGGAGATTTTAGAGTGGAGTGTTTTCGTACTTTACTTTAAAATAGGTAAGTAAGTAAGAGTACGTCTGAATACTCGCAAACATTTTCATAATCCTATCAATACGCTAGGAATAAAACTATGTAGTGCCTGCGATCAAACAAAATAAACTCACTAGTGGTCTACGGAGAGCTATTGTTAAAGATTACCAATGAAATAAGAAATTATTGAACAACTTAGCTAAGAAAAGGAGTGAGCTCTTATTTTTGCTTTCATACTGTGAAAGATTTCCGACATATCCAGAGAAAAATCTACTAGCCAAAAATACTCTCAAATCTACCAAGCCGCCCACCGATGAACTGCTTATGCTGTCGGCAGAATTAAGACTGATATCGATATCCTCGAAAGCAATTCCCAACGAGGAAGGGGCTTTGATATCCTTCTTTTGTGAGACAGAATCTGTGCCTCGAAGTGGCTGATAGTCGATTTGCCGCACGTATTCATGCTGAGGCATTGAATAATCTGGATCCACGGCGTCGTAGTTCAGAGTCTCCGAGCTTATTTCATTGAGTTGGTTATCGATAACTGACATTGAAGAGGTCTGAGACGATGACATGCTCTCGTATTGCCGAGCAAGCGTTGGTTGTGTACCTCGTGTTAAGATCTGAACAACGGGGAGTTTACTTGGTTTTGCAACGGAAAAAACTGAGGATTTGGAGTCTTTCGGATCTTTTTCGGATTTTCCAAATGCAGAGAAATAATTGGTCGCATTTTCGCTTATTTTTGGGTTGGATATAGTTTTCAGTGGTTCCGGAGAAGGAATTTTCCTAAGTAAACTAGTTTTGGAAGAGGGTTTATTTAGTTCTGGGGACGAGTTTCTATACGAGTTAGATGAATTCAGGGAAAAGTATGCAGGCAGCCCTTCTAAGTCAGACGATATGAACGGCGCAAATGTTTCTAGTGTCAGTTTTCGAGGTTGTCGTGGCGGAGATGTATTTACAGGAGACTTCGAAACGGGACTTTTGAAATTTTCTGAACAGTATCGAGAGGCAATTGCATTTACCTCGTCGGCTGTGAGGCTCCTCTTCGGTAAAACTGACGAGCTGGAAGGCATAGATATCTTGGAAGGTTTTACGATTTTGTCGTCAGCAGTTGCATTAATCACATTCAACTTTGGCTCACTATGTGGTGAACACGGAAGATTAGACGAAATTTTCAGAGTTGGGATGAAAGATTCTCTAACACTGAGCTTGACGTTTTCTCGCTTGGAGCTTACAGACAAATTAGAGGCGTCAGCAGAGATGTAAGTTGCGGATACGTCTAGCTTTTTCATGATTCCCGACTGTTCAGAATCGGTAGTTGAACGCGAGGTTGAGGTTTGTGAATAAGCATCGAATTCCTTCAATCTGGATGCTACCAGGCTTGGATGTGGAATTGGCGACACGGGAGGTGTGTAGATGGGCGAGCTCGGTGGTGTGCTTGCGGAGAAGTAGGAATCTGCAGCTGGAGGTGAAAGTGCACTAAGAGATGTTTCGCCTCCTTCAATTGAGTTTTGGTCTACATCCGAACCCGAATGTTTATTACTCGAATATGACGTATCTTCTTCCTCCATGTCAATTTCGAACTCTTGAGACGATTGTTCAGAGCAACTCCAACTATCCGAAACATTTTTCTTTAATCGACGTGACGTTGAAGCGCTTTTGTCATTTTTGGACAAAAATCCAAGTTTCGGGGACTTATTAGGCTTAAGAATAAATTTTTCTTTGGGACCTGAAATCATATTCTTGACTGAATTCAATTTAGATACTTTACGTTTAGCCCCTGAATGAGCATTGACGATAGTGTTCAAACCGCTTAGCATACTTACGGGCTCTTCTTCTTCAGCATCTGGGCTGATGCTTCCAGTGGCATCTTCAAGTTTTGCTTCAGACGATATGCTTGGCCCGCTAGACCAGGCACTTCCAGATTCTTCGTCAGATTTCATTTCGTGAGATTCTTCGCTGGGGGCGGCATCTTCACTCCTAGGGTTTTCATTGTTCCCGTTTTTGGACTTGCGGTTTCCTTTCTTTCCCTTCCGAAACGATGATATCAAACTCTTCTTCCTCCTTGAAGACTGACTTGCATCTAGTTTTTCAGGAGTGCTCTTTGAATTTGTACTCATTTTCGGACTGTCAAACCAGTAATCGAGGCGTATTTTGTCCCTAACTCATATATGAGGGCAGCTTTCTCTGTGGCTACCAGTTCGGTCAAACAAAGTTAGTTTCGCTTCTTTTTCGGATACTCTAGAATGAAACGACTCGATGCTGTAAAACCGATTCTGTTCTGATAGCAGCGAGGCTTCACTTCTAGTTTTGAATCGCAATGCACTTTCATCGACGGCACTGTAAAGAGATTGAAACGACGATGCTTGACTTATTGAGCTTTCTTCCGTGCCGGAGGTGTTCATGTAAGAGAGGTCGGAAGCAAGAAGTACGTTATTATGTGAAAAACAATTTTCCACCTGCGATAAATTATCTTCTTTAATACAAAAAGAATAACGAGTAGTCAGCTCTTCAAGATAAATAGGCCTTTTTTCAAGAAGCAATGGTGATTTGTCCTCAGTTATACTGCCCTCGTCTCCTAGATCTTCCTTCTGAGAGCGTTCGGTAACTAATGTCCCGTCTTTGGCGAGAAGCGCCTGGACCTGATCGTGACCGTGACGATATTTACAGTGTTCGTGTTTTACGATTGATGTTCGCTTGTCTGTGTCGCGAGCTAAGCTCATCACTGTCAATAACTGGAGAAGACCTTTTTGAACAACTGATCGCTTGACGTGCCAGCGACCACTGCAACTGATTGACAACACAAGTTTAGACCGAGACAAGCTTGCACTTTTTGCATACTTTAGAGAGCTTCCGAGATGCGCTAAGCCGAGTCTCAACCTAATCCTCACGCAGCACTGTATCGGCTTCGACAGCTCCAGTAATAAGCTTCTTAATCTTCTTACGACGCTTTTGAAACTGTAAGCTCTTACACTCTGACAAATAGGTTCTTGAAGCTTGCTTTTACAAAAACAACACGTAGCATATACAGATAGTTTATTAGTACATAATTAAATACAAACGCCAAATAGCTAATGCTTCATCTTTGACGTCATAACACGTTCAGTATTGTATTTGAAAAAATAACTTTTAAAAACATATTTTTTAAACAAAACACTACTAAACAGTAAGTCATGTAATTTTTTTTGCATGGTTCATGTTAAAACTGTAAAATTTCAGATTGAACAAAATTTTCCTCCCTTATTATTGCTATATTCTCAGCTTTAGAAAATAAAAACGACGATCTATCCATTTCAAAACATTGAAGACAAATTGGGTTGTAAGAAAATACCTGGATACTGGGTTTCTTCATCAAGTTGAGTGATTAATTTTTTTTTCCTATAAATGTTTGAAAGTTCATACAATTTAAAGATTCACATCCTTGAATATATCATACTATTTGAAAGTGTCAGACGGCGTAACGTAAAAAATTTTGAGATGATAAATTGTGCGATTGCAAAGCAAAAGTCCATATTTTGAAAGCGTTGATACAATTACTGCAAATCATATTGAAGGATATATGGCTATCATCACAATTGAGATATAGGAGAAGAATTGAACACGCTACCCATGCCATGAATCGAATTCCATGGGAACCAAACCTTGGAATCAATTCATTGTTTAAAAAATAACATTATATCTATATAGTAGATAATTTAATGACATTATTGACAATAAAATACACATACGGAAGCAAAGTACGAAGCCTTGAGTCAAGTGATTTCACTATAACAAAAAAGATCGTGAAAAACATACCTGAAACAGAAAATAATGTTTTAGTGACAACCATCATATGTTTTGGAGAAATAAATCATAGTTTAGGTCAATCACAATTTAAATAATATTATTCGAGTAGTTGATAATGTTTGCTGAAATATCACGTACCTGACGCCTGTGAAGACCGTTAGAAATGTGACCGTTCTTCATTTTGTGCCGTTATCGTTCAACTCAAGGAGATCATGAAAAAGCTACGCTTTTCAATTTCGGAGGAATTATAAACTTTATGCAGACTTCGATGAAATATTAAAATGTTCTTTGATTGCGTAGATATAACGGATGAGAAGCACAGAGCATTTATGAAAGTTATTGTTTGCTTTTCGTCAATGTTGAATATACACATTCGTCATAGCTTCGCTTGGGTTGCAACCTTTGAGGCACTTATAAGCAGTTAACTTCACTTCGAAATTGCAGCTGCCAACAGTTAGGCGGCAAGAAAGTTACATTGAACAATCCATGCTAGTTCTATTAGTATTTTTCAATGTAAAGAAAAACGGTAAGAAATACCTACAGAGTCACTATAGTATATTAGAAACAGATACTATTTTTGAACCACTTAACACATAAAACCTGTCGGCAAAAATTAGACGGCGTTAATTTGTCATCGACACTTTTTATTTTTTTTTTTGTCCTTAGTATACATAGAATAATGCGATGAACTAACTTTAGATATTTTAGTCTGTAACATAAAACATGCACTAATCGGTCGCACCTAACGTATTACGTTAGTAAAATACCCTATTAAGACCACGAGCATGGCAGATCAATAAATGTTAATTATGACTATCATCAACTGGCAGTCGTGCATTGACTGCTTCTATGGTGCCGAAAATTCTTGCAAAGCGTGCAAGAGGACAGACAAGTGAGCATCGCACGACGTTCGTGCGGCACCGCGGCGTCAGATAGTGAGCATCGCACGACATTCGTGCGGCACCGTGGCGTCAGGCGACGCCTGGGCAGGCGAGTCAACTACCGAGGCTTCTTTAACGATGAAGAAAATACAAAAAATTATGCAATCAAGTAAATGGCTGGGAAAAATTTGGAGGTTGAGAAGTAAAATACCTAAAATTTGTGAGGTTGAAATCATTTTAGAAGGATGATTGGTTTCTAATGTTAAAGTCTACTATTTATTACCCTAATAGAATCATCACACGTTTCTGCTGCCCAGAAAATGGCGTTTCATTTTTCGATACAGATAAGCATATATAGTTGCATCAGGACCAAACTGGATGAGTGGCTACGGCACTTAATGGATCATTCTCCACGAGCAACCAAATTAAGCTAACTACCGTATCTATATCTTTAGCTCGATTACAATTCAAATGCTAAATACTTGAAATCCAATCATGAAGTCCTGGTAGAAGTTATGTTCGGAACGCCGAGGCACGAAAAAAACGTAAACGACAGTACCAGGAGTTGTGGAGGCTGCACGCACGAGTCTCATGCAAGGCGCTACAAGAATCCAGAGTACAAATAAGGCAGAATTACGACTGAATGGCAGCATCCAGAGCCATTAATTATGATAATCTTTGCATTGGAGCCTTCATCGATGCGTTCCATTTAATGCCAGAGATATGAGATTCATCTCATTAAGGATGTTAGGAGTAAGAGGATGCTCAAAAAAATAGACGAAAACTTTATATGGTTCCTGATTTAATCAGCTTAGACGTCGTTGGTTACAAAAACAAATCGCAATATTGCATTTTACCGACGATTGCGTGTGAACCATAATGACACAATACAACTAAAACTATTTATACTGGTCAATAGATGTGTGCACTGTGCAAGTTGAATAATGGAATTTGAATGCCATTTAAATAATACTTACTCATGATAATTTTCTCAGAAGAAATATAGTTTCCTATAATGAAAATGTCAGCGCAGAGACTCAATCAAAGCGGCGAATCAAATATCATTGACGCTCTAGCGGTCGTGACAACCTGCGGAGCGAACAAAGAGCGCTTATGCAAATCAAAGAGCGTTGCAATAATCTGGGCTTGTCCGCTTTATTTTTATCCAACACAGCACAACAGTTGATGGTACCGTAATGTTGTATCGTAATTTGATATCTCACCACCTCAAGTCTGAAGAGCTAAGACTTGTGTATACATATATATTCGAGACATTTCTCTTTCCGTCTACAACTTTACTGTAACCAAATAGCAATTTAAAGGCAAAAATAGATATTTAACCTGATGAAAGGATCGCAAGCAATTACGAATCGCGGGCTTAGGCTCATCAAAATGTACAAGTAGCGAGCTGTAAACTCTTTACTTGCTCTGGCAAAAATTTTCTGACGAAATATTAATTATTGTCAGCATCTCACGTGCAAAATAAGTAGGCCAGTCAGGGCCAGATTAGTCAATGAATATTATAGTCGTTGCTACAGCAGCGCTGGCTCGACCTGACGCAGGCAAGAATTCCATCGATTGAACCCGCAGACTAACAAAACCGAATCTCTCTGTTTTTTTTTTCAGTCAATCATTAACCGAGAATTTATTCATTATTTCAGGAGTCAAGGACCCTATGAACTCTAGCATGAATACCACTGAGTAGCGTCGTCACAGACAGTGCGTCTCTCAACGAAATAAACAAGAGAAAGTACGGCAAGAAAAAAGTTATGTTAACGCACGACCCAGGCCGCTGGTAGCAGCTCCGGTCAACAGAGCTCGCGCCCAATAAGGCCATGTGCGCAATTAGATCCTGTTTGTCCTCCCTGCCTTCAAAATTAACAATCAACGGGCGAATACACGTGGCAGGCCATCGCATGTTTCAACGGATTTCGGTAAGCTTATACGAAAAATAATTGTATCCCAATAAAAGAATAGTATACAATAATCAAATTTTCATTGATTGGAATTCGATCATTAATGCAGCACATAGAGCAGTGAGAATATTATATCATTGAGAAAGAACGCTTTCAGCAGAATAAATCCTTACACGAAAAGAACCATAAAAAATATATCCTTACACGGAAAGTACCATAAAAATAAATCCTTCCACCAAAGAACCAAAAAAAAAAAATTTTTTGGCCCCCTTAACGTCAGACCGGATTAATTTACGACATATGGGAGAGAAGAAAAAAATCTGGCACCTTTACCGCTGACTTCAACTGAGTGAATTATGACCTCATTTAAACGAGATGAATTAATGATTTAAGATCCATAGGACCACGTTCCGAGATGAATAAATGATTTAAGATCCATAGGATCACGTTCTTTAGGCTGAATAATTGAATGGACTTAAAGAACGCTAGACTCGCCCTCGGTTGAGTTCGGAGCGCCCAGGGCTCCAGATCGGGCGTCGCTCTGCCAGAGATCTACGCAGCAGCATCTCGATAAGCAAATTCCGAGCCCTTTTTTTATTGTTGTTTCAAATAATTCAAGTAACGGCCGGTGAACAGGCAATAGCCGGTGCTTACTGGACATATTGAACAAGTTTATTGAGAGTTAAATTGTGAGAGAGAGGTCGGTATCGCTTATGATAATATAATGAAATTTGTTCCACACATATATGATTTTTGTGAGAAAGTTCGGTTATGATATTCACTATTTTATATAGATGAGAGTTTTTAGTGCTATTCCAGTGTTACTTAACACGTTGACTGCGATTGCTTCATCTTGTACTATTATTTCATTTTTTTGTACTTTTTTTAAGCAGAGTTGCTAGACGGTCATTTTTTCCGGACTAATTCCGTGATTTAGTTTTTCTCAATTGCGTTGGCCGGCTAAAATTTGTGATAGAGGTACTTCCTAATTAGATTTTAAGTACTGAAAAAAGAAAATAAATGGAATTTTTATAGCGGAACCTACAAATAAACTAGTATACATTGAATTATCGGCCTTTTTTGGCCTTTTTTGTTTTTGGATTTGGCCGATTTTAGGCAATCTGAATTATGTACCACTACCTCCTGGAGAAATACATTTCGTGGTACGCATATGTACCAATACGTAGTCAACGTG